CGTCTCCTGTGTTAATGTTGGTACATGTAATATGCTAATTCTGTACTGTGGAGGTCATTAAGAGTCGTTGTCGGGTGAAAAAATCTTTCGCTAACACTGTGTTGACCTTGAACCGGAAGTGTTGGGAGTGGCATCAAGTGCTGGGCCAAATGTCCGTGGCATATAGGTTATTGGTAACTAAATTGTCCCTAGGTGTGAGTGAGAGAGTGAATGGTTGTCTGGCCCTGTGATGGACTTGTGACCTGTCCAGGGTGTACCCTGCCCCTCGCACAGTGACTGCTGGATATGGGCACCAGTGACCCACATGACCCTGAAAGGAAGAAGCAGGGATGGACGGATGGATGGATGGATGGATGGATGGATGGATGGATGGATGGATGGAGTCTGAACAATGTTTTATTTTGAAAAACGACCAGATTCTCTTTGTTACATCCGTGCATGACTCACTCTTGATGCATGTCAAGACACTTGTCTCGGTGAAAACAGACGTCTTTGGAAAGTTTCCTTACAAAGGCAAAGGGGAAAAGTTGTTGGCACATGTCAGGAAGACATTATTAATAAGGTTACATACAATTACACAGTGAGTGGATTGACGTTTATTATTATAGTTACAAAATACCAGTTCTTGTGTTGGTCATAGGCTATCATTTTATTTTGTTGTGTTCATCCGTCATACCTTGCCGGTCCGTGAAAATATGTCTACAATAAAGCGGTCCGTGGCGCAAAAAAGGTTGGGGACCGCTGGTTTAGATTTAACATAATAATAATAATAATAATAATAATAATAATAATAATAATAATAATGTTATAATTATTATTATTGACTCCAACAATGTTTCTGTCTTTCACAAGGAGACATTGCTCAAAATTATCTTAATGCCACGAGATAATACTCTGTGGCCACAAGGGAATTTCTTTAATCCACTGTCACCAGACAGCACTGTACAAATTTGATTTTCAAAGCAAAAACAGAAAAAAGTGTCTACGAAATTCATTAAAATACCATGCATCCATCAGTTTTTGTGTAACACAGAAGTGATGTGTTTTAAAATGAAAGAGGGATCATAAAGAACAGATAATATTAATCTTTATGAAGAATGTGGACATAAATATGACTTAACAATGCACAGGCAGATAAGTTACCACTGCTGGGGTTGCTATGTTTCATAAAACACATGAATCAGAGGGGACATGATTTTTCCTGCTGCTCAGCAGATCAGACGCAGTTTAAAACTCAACACCTGATGAAAGCGTCTGCTCCAGCCAGGCTGAGCTCCACTTTCATATTTATGTTTAGTTTTTTTTTCTACTCCTTGGTAATAAGTCAGATTTCTGGATACGATGTGTGCTGTGTATGCAAATCACTCAGCAGGAATAATTGCGCTTCACTTTTTTTTATAGCTCAAGATTAGGAACTGCTGTCAGAACTAGCTTTATTCCTTTAACTCTGACATCATTAAATCTTTTTGACAGCTTTCCGTCAGAATCCATATTAGATAGTAAGTGTTAAAACTGGAAGCCCAAAGTAACTTTATTCTTTAATGACACAAGGACCTGATTGCATCACGTCTCTCGCTTGTTGTCTGTGTTTTTCTTGCTTTGTTTAGAGTCTGAAGCGTTGAACGCGGGCCTCTCTGGGCTGGGTTCTCTCGGGTTCACTGGATGCTTGTCAGCCGTTCGATTCAACTCCATCTGTCCTCTGAAAGCTGCTCTGCTCCATCCTGACAGCCGTGTTCTTGTCACCAGCCCACTGATCCAATCAAGCTGTGCTTCCTCCTCTCAAGCTGATCCCTACGCAGCAGAAACAACACACTCCTTATCAGGTAAAAAAAAAAAAAGAAGAAGAAGAAAGAAGCAGAATTCGGTCCTCAAACCCCATCATATCCCTCAGATCATTGGGCAAGCATCCCACCTTCTCCCAGTGTGAGATTTTATTTGATGTCATTTTAATATATATTTATAGCTAATCATTAGACTTTCTTATCAGCTCATTAGGCAGCCGCCTCAGTAGGCAGAGGGAGGGATGGCAGCCAAACAACTCTAGGGAAGTCCTTTGAGGCTGTGCTGAGGCTTTTTTAATGCTCTGACTAACAGTTCTCACTGTCCTTAAACTGTTTGACCTCACATTTTCTTTTCCTTGTTCTTTTTTATTGCAGTTTTCTTTTTTTTAATTAATGGCTAACACTTTTTTTTCCTTTTTTTATTTGTACCCAGACCAGCCTGGGTCGGTGGATCCAGGTCAGCCTTTAGTTAACGTCATCAGGAGCGACTCGGCTGTAATTGGAGGTGAGGCTGATCACACATCCTCTCCGTTTCGCTCGTCGATGTTTGGGACTACTAGACGCTTTGCTGTTTTACCACTCACCTGTTCCGAGAAAGTCTTTGTCATGCATGAGCTTGTGTGGGAAAAAGTCGATTGAAAACAAATGACATGTCAGAGAAGTCAACATTATCTGCCGAGGGAAATCAAAATTCTCTAATCTCACACCCAATTATGTCCCCCAATAATGTGATGCGAGGAGATTTGCTTGCTGCAGCGAGCAGCGTTTGGCACAGAGCCAATAAACACGATTGTTCTTTTAGCACGATTTGTCTACAGAATAATCCTGACAGCAAAAAAGATAAATAAATAACTTGCATTCCTTAAAGAAATGCACGCTGCCTTGCTAGCCGAAGTTTTAAAGGGGCAATATCATGTAAAATCAACTTTTTTGAGTTTTAGATCATGTTATAATGTGGCTTTTTTAATACTCTCATAAAAAAACATGCCCAAAGCCTTGCATTGACTCATTTATGAATGTTTGAGAAATCCTGCAGC